GGCTGCGGGTGCCCTCGCTGGTGTGGGAGCGGCTGCGGGACCCCTCCAGGGACGTGACACTGGAGCCCGAGGCCGTGCGGGACCGCATCAGGCGGGTCATGCTGGCAGAGGGCACTGGGGAGAGAGGAGAGCGCCGTTAGGGTGGGAGGACGCTAGGAGCAGCCACACGCCAGCCTCGGAGCCTGCTCTGTGCCCACCTGGTCGAGCATCTTTTTTTTTTTCTATGTTTTTATTGATCTCAGAGAGAAAGGGAGAGAAATACCAATGATGAGAGAGAATCATTGATCGGCTGCCTCCTGCACGCCCCCTACTGGGGATCAAGCCCACAACCCGGGCATGTGCCCTTGACTAGAATCGAACCTGGGACCCTTCACACTGAGCCAAACCAGCCAGGGCCAGAATTCACTTTCAGAGCAAAAATCTGAGCCCAGCGGAGGCCCAGATAAAGGGGTCAGGCTCGCACCCTGCAAGGTGAGCCGGGCGGCGGCGCTATTCCCACGGGGAGAGTGGCTCAGGCCCACGGGGAGAGCGGCTCAGGCCCTCGGGCAGCTGATTTCTGTTGGCAGAGGGCACCTGGGGACACGGACCCCACCCACAGCCTAGAAGTCAGCTCGTCCATCCGCTCTCGGCCTCACAGACACCAAGCATGGCTGAGGCCCGCCTTGGAGCTGCGGTCAGACGCACCGTGACTATTTTAAACGAGCAAACAGCTGAAGCCTCCGAGAAAAAAGTGAACGACATCAGATGTACAAAGACATCCCTGTTCAGATGGGCACGTGGATTATAACCCGAGCAGTGGGCAGGAGAGCCAGAGACGCCACCTCGGGCCAGGCCGCAGCCCATGCCCCTCCCAGCACCAGCCGCAGGACGGCCCGGTGGGGTGCTCGGCCTTGGCCTTGTCTGTCCGGGTCCTGGGCTGCCTTTCCAACAAGGACTGCAAGTGTCTGATGAATACACGTGAACATGACACAGGAAGCAGCCGTTCTTGAATCATGCCGCTGTGTACTCCTCAACTCCCTAATCTAATGGGTTTTTTTGCTGCTGTTAATTCTCACCCGAGGATATTTTTCCATTGGGTTTTTTTGTTTTGGGGTTTTTTTTTGGGGGGGGGGGATTGTAGAAGGGAGGGGGAGAGACACAGAGAGAGAAACATTGATGTGAGAGAGACACATCCATCGAACAGGCCCGGGATGGAGCCTGCAACCGAGGTAGGTGCCCTTGACCAGAATCGGACCCCAGACCCTTCGAGGGCCAACGCTCTATCCAGTGAGCCAAACCGGCCAGGGCCCAAATCTAAAGTTTTAGAAAAGACATGCTTGGTCCTAATTAGCAGCAACTTGATCACCCACTTACTCAGAGCTTTATAGTGGTTTGTTTTTGTTTGGTTTTGTTTTTTGGAGCTTTGTATTTTTTAAAGAACTTTCACAGATCCCTGCTCTGCCCCTTGCCTCCGTTTTGTCACTTGTAAATTAGAATTAGAGTATCTTGTGGGATTACTGGGATGGTTCAATGGGGAAAAAAAATGAAGGATTCATTAATAATCCTTCATGACCATCAGCAGCAACAGCCTCATCATCACCATCATCGCGACAACGGAAAGTCCCTTAAGAAAGCAATAATCAGAATGAAAAAGGTTTCCATGGTCTGTCTCACTGTTTGTTGTCGTCTTGGTGCCTAGAAGGCTAGGCTTCCCTAAAGCTGAAAACACCCCCTGGTGTGAGACGACTCTGGTCAAGCCTGGAGGGCGAAGGAGCTGCTGTGGTGCCAGGGAGACTGCCCAGCTCCCCCTCCCTGCACCTATCTCTCCCCGACCCGCCCGTGTGCAAGGAGCCGCCGCTGGCCAGGACGACACAGAATTCTCATCTGAACCCGGTTCAGGGCATCGCATTCCCAACTCCCACCCGGCCCTGGCCCGGCGCCCGCCGGGAAATGCCATACTTACTGTATCCCATGCCCTGCACGAAGTACTTGAAGGCCTCCGCGAGCTTGGCTGGCTGCGAGAGAAAAGAGGGGACAGGGGAGTCAGTCCCCGGGGGTCCGGGTCACGAATGGCCACATGAGCTGTGGCCGTGGTCACCTTCACCAAAGACCTGGGCCCAAGAGAGAAGGCCCAGCTAATTTCGGTCCCTACAGTGACCGCAGACAAAGTACAGGAAGGAGTATGGGTCATTGTAGGGACCGAAATTAGCTTTGACGAGGGAGGAAAAGTCAAATTCGCGGGGCTGAGGAGGGCCAGGGAGCTCTGCAGGGCCCGGGGAGCAGGAGTGCGGGCTTGGAATGGGGGTGCCTGGGCCCAGACTGGGCTCCCCTGGGAGACCGTGGGCAATCTCTCCCCTCTGCTGGTCTCACTTCCCTCTTCCGGGACAGCAACTCAACGCTTGCTCTTCCCACCTCTCAGGCTGCCGCCAGGATCAAGTGGAAGGAAGGTGGAAACGCCCTGTGTAAACACCACCCAATACCCAACATGTCTGGGCGGGGGCGGGGGGAAAGCTGCATGGCGATGGCCTCCCGGGGCTCATGGCCCGGAACCCTGGGCCGGTTCAGCTCCCGCCAGGACGTGTAAACCATGTTTCCACTGTGGCCGGGGCAGCTGTTCTCATTTCAAGCAGAGAAAGAAAGAGAAGAAGGCAGGGAGGGGAGATGGAAGGGCAAATGGCACCCTTTCTCCCCATCAACCTCAGGGCCCGGGAGGCGGCCGTCTCAGCAGGCGGCTGGGTGGGTAGAGGTGCCCTCACCAAAGGCGGGCGTTAACCCATGATCACAGCTAAGCGGGCCCTACGGGGTGCCCATCTGCTCCCTGTCACGTGGGCAAACACAGGAACAGAGGACACTGAAAATACCTTTGTTCTAGTCTAGTGGGAGCAGGCGGGACACAGACACAGGTGCAGAGAAGCTAAGAGAGCCAGCAAAGCCACGGTGCCCACGCCTCTGTGAGTGCCGGCTACGAGGCGGCCTGAGGCGGGCCGGGGCCGGGGCCGGGGTC